AGGTCAGAGGACTGGACCAGCACGTGTCATGTCGTTGGGGCTTCACGACGCACTCAACTGCTGGGACTATATGGTGCCGCCTGCCTCTCACCCTGACAGGAAGGGCGGGCATCGCGGGGAATCGGACCCCGTACCTCTGGTTTCCCAGACGCGGCTGAACCAGCTCAGCGGGTAGTGTTGGCACCAGCTGGACGCGTCATGACGCCGGCTGGATTCGTCGAGCCGCTGACTTAGGCTGACAGGGGCTGACAAGAGCGATCCACTATATCCCACCACAACTGGCGCCGCCACACCGACCAGAACCGCTTGGGACCGCCTGCTTCCGACCACCACTGTCTTCATTTGTGAGGCTCAAATGATCACTTCAAAACACAAATGTTGCGTTACGCGCCTTGGTTTCGGGCGCACACTGATGACTTGTGTTAATGTACGTTCATATGTATGTGCTCCTTGCACGTCAATGCGGGCCATATGTGCTCTCAAGGAGTTTTAATTGATCTTGGTATACGTACTTTGGGTTTGACACCTTAGTTTGTTTCAACTGAACACATTTCTTGGATTCATCGTTCCATTTCGCACGTTTTGGATAACATGCAAGGCCGTCACACTGCATTAAACCAAAAATACCGACCGTTTTAACGAATCGAAGACCTAAAAGGCCATCTAGAGGACTACCTTCACGCGAATACAACTAAAAAGGTCCAAACTCTTGCCCGCCTGCCCACGGGAGGGGAGGCAAGTTCCGGGGCGTCCACAATACGACCGGCCAGTTTGCAAAACCCTGCACGGCGAGCCTTCTGCTAACAGGTTGATATGACCCCCGCCAAGGACGCTAGATCCCATCGTGTACGAATACATAAGTGAACAACAAAGTGAATTACACCCGGAGCAGTAATTCCACCCAGCCCACAGCACGGGCATGGGCGGAGTGGGCGGTTGGGTGGGTGGGGTGCACACTTTCAGAGCGCATCCACTGCATACTGGGCGCAGCGGGTGACCGGTACGCGCCGGCGTGGAAGCTGCTGACCCACTCAATAGCAGAGGCGGACCTGGGCCACAATTAGCACGCCGCCCCGAGCTGCGACGCCACTCGGCACAGTGCACCACGCCGACTCCGTAACCAGTCGGACGCGTCCTGGGGCCGGCTGGGCTCGTCCAGCCGCGACGGCCGGAGATTCCCGCAGGAGCTGACCTGATCCGGCCGATGGCCGACTCGCCGGAGCGCCGGCGCCGGCGCCCGGCTCGCCTCACCAGCTGCGGTCAACTGCGGCCAGCTTTCTCCAGCTTCTCAGCTGCCGCCCAGCTCATCGCTGCCGTCAAGCTTTCTCCGCTCCTCATCCGGCTGTCCCAGCCGCCTTCTGGCTATACCCCCACTATACTCAGCTCCCCCGCAGCCCTCCAGCTCTCCCGAGGTCTCCAGACGACGCCCAGGTTGGTCCGGCGACCGCATCGTGGGGCCCCTCTGTCTGGACCGACCGGCGGGGCGGGGCGGAGCGGGGCCGCGACGGGAGCGAGACGGCCAGACCTCACGGACGCCCGGCCGCGGCACGTGTCAAGCCCACGCGAGCTACGCCCGGCACTGTCACACGTGCCGCCCGCCAGGCCGAGAGGCGTCCACGGCAGCCTGTCGGAAGGCAGATGTTCGGCAGCGGGGTCTGCGCTCGGCCGGGCTCCGGGCACGCTCAGATCGGGCCGGAGATCGGGCCGGAGACGGACACCCCGTCGGCGCGACAGCTGGTCATGGCTCTGCCTGGCGCCACCGGCGGGTGGGCCTCCTAGCCACCGGCGTCGGGACCGTGACCGGCCCCCGCGCGCCCCTAACTCCGCGCCGCGGTCCCATGCCGGCCGCCGGCGCCGGCTGGGTTCCTCCGGCGCGCCGGAGGAACCGAGGGGATGACAGCCGCTGGCTCGGGGCCCGCCCGCCACGCCCATTTGGCCACCCGATCCACACAACTCCCACGGAAGGCGAACTTCGCTGTTGCTGACCTTCAAGACATCCTGCAGTCCGCGCAGACGTGCACTGGTCGGCCCGTTATACAGCGCAGTCAACCACGGGTGAAGCCTCGGACCTTTAACAAGGGCCTTGGCCACTGTTACGTTTGTCTTGGACCCTCCATGTGAGACCGTGATCACCAAAAAGTCCCTAAAACAAGTCACGATAACCAGTTTTGCTTGTTGAAAATCCGGCCTTCAGCTACCTCCGACGAATTTTATTTCTCCGAGCTGCACTTATGCAGCCATGGGCCCAGTCGGCATCCGCAGGGCGTCTTCCGCGAAAGCTTAACAACGAATCGAGCGACTGGCATGCTACACGATGTGCAATAAAGTGTGAAGGCTTCGAATATGATGGACTTCCCACCAACGGCACTGATCTCGCTCACGTTCCGTTACATAAACTCCCGAGTCGGTCGACGTCGCCAACCCGAGTACCAATGACGCTGTTGGTCACGAGACAGCGGCTAATTTGGGCTGGATGCAATATGATAACGCCAGGGCCGGCCAGGCCCAACGTGCCATTACTGAAACTGTAGCCCCAATGTCCGCCAGTGTCTGGCGGCCGGCGATCGGCCTCTGGCTCCATCTCCCACCCGGACAGACCGTGTAGCCTGCTTCTGGCTAGGAAATACGACCGCTCACAAGCTCTTTCATCTGAAATTTTCTGAAAATCGTATGGCTATCTCATTCTAAACGTGGATACGTACGCAGACCATGGACAATCACTTAGAAAGGATTCATTCACATCGAAGCCATTTCCCTTGAAGTTAAGATAACAAATCAACGTGAAAACAAATGATCAAAATGGATTGGGTCAATCGATTTAAGATTTTGAGTTCATAACTTCTTAATCAATCGATATGTTGTCATTTCGGAAATATCATGTCAACTCTAGCCGATGGCAACCAACAGTAAAACTGTTGGTCCTGCACTGAAGCCCTCAGCCCAATGCGCCTAGCTCTAAGCTGCTAACTGCCCCAGAGTGGTGTTAGCAAGCCTGTGGCAACGCACATTAGCGCCTGTTGGATCAAAAACGCTTCATAAACGGCTTCGAAAACTCATTAACTTCATAAACAAAAAGGCTTCGTAAACTTCAACAAGGATCAAAAGGCAAAAAGATCAAAGGCTGTTAGATAAAAAAATATCCCATCTTAACGGTATTTACGCAATACGCAAAGTTTCCGAAACCTTTTCCCAGAACGAAGCGCCAGCGCTTATCGCAGAGAATGCTATCAGCCTTAACAGACGCAACACGCTGCGGATACTGTTCGTTTTGAGATGCTGATGGCATCAGCTGTCCCCTGCCCCGGCCGTCCTACCGCCCAAGCCGCGGGTACAATGTTTTAAAATACCTTCCACAGTGCTGTGAGGCGTGGCGGCGCCACTGCTTTTTCGCAGACCACGTCTCTGGGTCAAAACTCATCAGGTGTGTTGCGGTGAAAAGGTATTTTAATCACGTACATTTATCGTCAATAATCTGAAAAGACTGCTGCAGTCCTCGCAAAACTGTCAACATGACACTAATCCAGCCAACGTGGCGCAAAATGACACATACGGACATACTTGGCAAAAATAGTGTTCTCTTTTACGTTGGGTTCAAGGATAGTTGGGAGCGAACGACTAACAAAAATCAATCTGAAAACGTCAAGGAGCAAGCGGCATAATGCCACATGTGCTACAACCGGAGTAAGGAGGAAATACACGTTTTACACGCTACGAAACATTTTCATTTTAAGGTCTCGGCGCGAGCAAACAGGTTCTGCAGCACGCCGTCCTCATCTACAAACTCCATCGAGCGAAACGAATGCATCCCGGACATCTCGCGCGCGCATAAAAACTCCCAATGCGAGTGACGACACGACCTCGACCCGCCCGGAGTCGCGACAGAACTAGTGCAGCTGAAGCGAACGTGCGCCGGCAGGGGGCTACGTCGGCCAGGCCGGTCAATACACCGCCGCCGACAAACACGTGGTTACATAAGCGTACCGACCGGCAACAGATCAGCGCCCAGCACGGGAGCAGGGTGCGCGCTGGGCGTGCGTGCCACCCGAGCTGAGAGGCAAACGGTCGCCTGGGTAGCTGGAGGGGGACGCGGAGGAGGCAGCCCGGGCTGCTTACATAACCGGCGGCGGCCGGACCTCTGCTGGCAAGCGTCGGCGGCGAGGTGCCGGAGGACGCGCCGCCACGGCCGCCGCCAGAACACCGGGCGCGCCGACCAGCGCTCGGCCGGACACCTCAGCTGACAGTGGCCTGACAGTGGCTGACAGTGGCTGACAGTGGCCTGACAGTGGCCTGACACAGAGGGCTATAAGTCTTTGGCTCTGCATATGACAACTTACCACTGGCTTTGAACATATAGGTGTTCTGCCCAGCCAATATCATGTTAGAAAGAGCCTATGTATCTTTGTCACACAAGAAACATTTTAGTCCCCATGTTAAATGTCCCCATCACCTTCAGCTGGCAAAGGGGATGGTGACAAGGAGGCATCTTCATCATCACAGATCATCAAGGAGACACCAGGCAACAGGTGCAATCCAATTGTAACCAATGAAGAGGAATATGTTCTGACTGCTTTGCAATGTAAATGGTCTTCCTGATAATAACCACACTTTCCTGACAATAATTAAAATATACCAGAGTAAAAAAGACCAAAGCTAATACCTCTACTATGTAAATATCAAAAAACTCATCAACCATTACTGGACATGATACCTAGTAACACATTCAACAAGCTGGTCAGACCCAGTAACCAACTACATGGAGACCAAGGCTACTTCACAGAGGAGACAAAACCAGAGGCTTGCATGGAAGAGGTATCAGTCTGCTCATGATAAATATGTCAATAACAAATGACTGAAAGTCACAGAGTGAGCAGAAGGCTGTCAGCTTAGCAGATTGCATGATCCTGCTTCAGCATATGTTAACAGAAACAGATATGTGGGTGGTCACAAATCAAAACCCCAGTAATGTAAGTGGACAAGACATTGGCACATGACCTACTTACCCAACTCCAAGGCATCAGTGTAGTATTGTAGAGCACTGCCATAGTCTTCAACCTTTACACTTTGATTCCCTTTACTTCTGGTGACTTCGGCGCTTAGTTCAGGTTGCCACCACCGTTTGATGAGGTTAGAAATTAGCACATTGGCTTTTGAACTGTTAAATTCACATGCATAGAGCTTCCTTTTACACAGTCTGCAAGCATTTGGCTTCCACTTCACTAGGCACTTTTTGCAGTAAGTATGTCCACAGAGAAGAGTCACAGGTTCACTCAGCACAAAATCACAGATAGGACAAGAAAATGGGTGAGCATACTTCAGCCTGTCATGATGGTTGGGAGATATTTGCTGTGCACTAGCTCCTCCTTCTTCTGAATGTTCTGGTGCTGGAAACAATATCTCACTGCTACTTTTCAAAAGGGAACTTGCTATGGCAGTGATAATTTTACTATATGACACATTATCACTTGTCTCCAATAAACTTTCCAATGTGTCTTTCATTCTGCTCTTCTTGAGGAAGGACCGAGGTAGCACATCACTGGCCTTGCTGCTCTTGCTTTTCTTTGCTCCATGCACATCCTTTCCATGTTCAATGTTCCCTGTGATAGTGAGCAAGCACTCATCCACCAGCATCTGCAGAGCTGGCTCGGTCATGACGTCCCAGCACATAGGAGCAAGCGGCCAAGATCCTATTCACAGCCAGTTTCCATCATGCAGCTTTACAATGATGTGTTGGACTAAATCAGCTCTGATGATGTGGGAGCCAATTCTTCATGAATCTTCGGAGCGTAATATGGGAGGAAAAGGCAGATCTAAATGCACATGGAAGCTTTAGAGGTATAGGACTTTCAGGCAGGATTGGAGGCAGTCTGCTGTGGACGAGTGATGCCTTCCTTGTTCCTTTGTCGTATGATCAGCGCTAGTACAGCAGTCCTTCTTGGAATAGAGCCGCACAAAACCAACAATCCAAGTAAGTGAGCTTCTCAAATGCACCTCGACAGACCAATTCCCCGGCGCCCGCCACAGACACTTCACCCCACGCTAGCGCGCGCCGCACTGCCCGTCCGACACTCCTCACTAACGTCAACAACCACCGCTAGGCCATACGCGTCACATAAACTCCATCATTACTGGGAGTCGGGTTAAATAAATATACCAAAAATTACTAAAACTTTTTGAAACCTCCAGAAACCACAGGGAATCTTCGGGGAGAACTCCAAAAGAAGAATGTTAGGCCGGAGAATGAAATCTTATGAATGTTAAGCGTTACAAAAGCATCATTCAGTGCTCATAATGCATTGGTTTAAATCATGTTAATCACTGGCGAACTTATTCAAGCACCAAAGGCATCCTGATGGACCGAGGTACATCAGCATCCGAGGTAGCTCACCAGCAACCGACATACATATTGTAAGACCCCCATTGGGCTTAAAACTTTTTGTCAGCTATCACCTATTTAGAAACCCTCACAGAACTATTACAAACACTCTTTCACCCTGTAGCTAAATTTTATATTTCCGCAACCAGCCTGATTCGGTCTTTGAGGGTCTAGTCACGGTTACCCTGCTCTGTCATGTCTAAAACGGACCAACCTAACATCAGCTCTGGTATGATGTTCTCTAGTCCACTACATGCATCCAGTATTTCCTAGTTTTCTTGTTTTTATTTCTCCATTTGCGGAAAGATTTTAACCGTTTCTGTCATTGAGCATTTCCCGCGCTATCTTGGTATCAGCTGTTGGGGGGAAAAATTATGTTACATATCTGGCGCGCCGCAGATAAAAAGTTAGGTTTCGGGCCAGGTAAGCTGCAAATTTACGTCGGTGGGTTGATACCAACTGGTGATGTAATTGGTGTTTAGCACTGCTATTCTTTTTGGCGATGCGGTGATATGCTGTGTGTAAACCAAAAGATATTGGGGAGGCCCCTGACCCTTTTTTCACTGTATGTCTGCTTGCCAGATAAAAGGAAGGGGCACAAATATCCAGCATAGTTGACGCGCCGTAAAGCATCGAACATATTAATAGAAATAAATGTAACGAATTGAACGAAACAAGAGTGTGGCTGGATGTCACAATGCTCGAAATGCATGTTACACCAAACATATTGAGCATATCAGTGACATCCCAAAGCAAACTTCAGAACATTTACATATTTTTACATACTACAGAACATTTACATATTTACTACATTTACATATTTACATATTTACTACAGAACATACAACATAGAACAGAACATAGAACAGAACATTTACATATTTACATATTTACTACAGAACATACCACAGAACATTTACATATTTACATATTTACAGAACATAAATTTAAGTGCTCACGTGCTTATGTGCAAAGTGCTTTAAGTGAGTCCGGTGCTGGATCATTTCTAATATGAGTGCATGGCAAGTCACTAATTTGAAAATAGCATGGTTTTTCACCCAAAAATATTTGGAAAACTGTGAACATTATGACAAGGCTTGCTTTCAGTGCACAAGAGCATGATGTTCATGGGCAGCAATTGACCACAAATAACCATTGCAGCAGGTGTTTTTGCAAACTGGCCTGGAAGGTGGCTAGGAAGTGAGTTGTTTGACATTATCAAAATATGCATAATCTGTGCACATCAACCACAAGCATCATTGTACCATGCATTTCCTTTCTGTGGGAAAATCAAAATCAAACATCTTTGGTCTCAGACTACCACTCCAGAGGCCAGCCTGATGGTAGTTCTACTTTAACTGGACTAGTTATTTGCCACTTCATTGCCCAGTAGGCAGTCAGTTATGGATGCCAGGGATTGTTTCCCAAAATATATTTGAAATCAGCGGTCATAGCCTCATGCCCACATGGTAAATTGGCAAGGCAAATTATTAATGACATGTTGTCCTTACACAGTTCTACACAGCACTGAATAGTGTCATTCTGAACTAATGATACACAGCTTATGGAAAAAATTATGTCATGTCACAACCAATGCCAGGGATCCTCATGGTGATGGAGAAATTTGCAATGCCCAAGGTGCTGGAATAAGGTGATTCTACAATGTGCTTTTGATGCATGTACAGTGACAGTGGCTGAATTCTCTCCAATATTTTTTGGCCATTGTGTAAAGCTTTGTCAGCAGTAGTGTGTTTCAGAGGAAGATATGGTAGAAACAATTTTACTGCTTTAGGTGTTGCAGTACAACTGTAAGTTGCATGACTGCAAATATTAGATGTTGTGCATTGTATAATGATCAGTCTCTTGATAAAAAAGAACAAATAAGACAAAGCACCAGCTGTTTTCATTCCTTCAGTACTTGTGATACCATGCTCATACACAACAATGTTCTGATTTTTAGGTGCAGTGTTGAATACATGTCTGACCTGCATCATTCCGTGGTCATTGGTTACATACATGCAAATGCTAACACAGACTTTGCTGTAACCACTAATAATGCCTCATATTTACACAGCTAAAACCTATTTTCTCTTTAAAACATCTTTATAATCACCAAACATCCTGCATAGCACAGTGCCAGAAAGGAATTTGTTTGATTTTACTTACGTATTTGAATCACTTTATTTTGGCTCAGACTTATGTAACACTTTATGCATGTGGTTAACTTCTGGATTTCTAGCCAAAGGTTGAATTTGTTATCATTTTGGACAGAATGTGCTTCAATGAAAGTCTTTGGATTGCATAGATATTGCCCTTCAAATTGAGGAAGGCCCTGCTCTAAATGCATCCCTGCTATGTTATTTATCATCTATGGGTAAAAGAAGCAAGTGACTGTTATATAACTCCATCAACACAATATGATCAAATCTGAGAGATATAGGTGGGAGTTTACTTTTATATTGTTTGATGCATGATGAAATAGCCCAAACACAAGTTTGGATAATATTTTGAAATATTTAGTCCCGAGGAACCCATCTGGAATTGTCTGCCATTGAAAGTTTGCTTGTGTGTCCCCAGTTGAAAACTGCCTGTCTGTAATGACCTAGACCTAGAGCATTAGACAGTGCTGTCAAGCTCTCACCAAGCTCAGATATGAATGTTTTGGATAGGGCTTATCACCTTGATTGTACACAGTGTTGGCAATGTTTCAGTGTGGGACCTGGCTTTGCAGGGGTGTCGGCCATCAGTGGAGCCATCTGTGACCATCTGTGACCACCATCTGTGACCTGGCCCAGTGACTGGCCGACACTCCAGCGCCGCTCACGTAGCTCCGCCCGCGCTCGCGTCCGGGACAATGGGCTCTGTGCAGGCCAAGGTAGGAGCCGGCTCGCGCGCGCGCTCGCACGCACGCGCAGCTGTACGCACGCGCAGCTGTACGCACGCGCGTCGGCTGCTCTAGCTGTGCGTGGCTGGAAGTGTGACAGAGCCCCTCCGATGTGTGCTCCGCTGGAGCTCACCGGAACGTCAGCTCCCAGCTACCATTGAACTGTCACATCTGCTGTTACAGCTCGGTGCCATGCGAGGCAGGCTCGTGTTGCCCATTTCGCTGTTGGTTGCTGTCAGGTGCCAAGGTCCCGGTGTCTTGAGGCAAGCGGCAGGACCCACCCGCGCGTCTAAGGCGCAGCCCAGTGTTTCGCGTGCCGGCTGGTCCCGATTTTCTTCAGCTGTCCTCCAGAGCACACTTGCTCCCACACATTAAAGATGCTGCGGAGGGTTTCAGTGCGCGATCTTTCCAGCCGGTCGCAGTGTGTCCCGAGCGGTTGGGGGCTATATTCCCAGCGGAGCTTAGCTCACATGCTGTGTCCACCACTCTCCCAGGCGCCTGCATCACTGTGTGCGGCTCTACTCCCGGCTGCCTCTTGCAGGTGTCTCCTGTTCTCACGTATCTCCGTCAGGCAAACTCGCCCCCACTTGGCCTCATTGGGCAAAAGGGGCTCAACAATGATTAAGACGGCAACAGGTGCTGGTAACGGAATGTAGATGGCAACACTTGCTTGTAATGGTCTGATTTTAAGACAAAAGTAAGTACGCATTGCATGAAGTACGTAAGCCTAAAGAACGTACGCAATTGTTCGTACCGAAGTATACGTGAGGTGTTCATATGGTATAATGCTCGTATGCAAAGTATTTGTCAGGACATAAGGTCGCACGGAGAAAGCTCGCGTGCTTGAAGTACGCACGCATTTTTTTATCGTGATAGGGGATTTACGCCGCATTCAGCTGCTGGGGCCATTTGGCACTCGCCGGGGGGGGGGGGGGGGGGGTCGGAACCTAGTGGGAACTAGGTCTGGCAATCCCACAGTGACGTCACCATGGGAGTGCCCGAGGGCATTTACGCGTTTAAGTGCAAGACAACACTGATTTTTTCACGATCGTTCTCGAGTGTTACTAAGCCGTTTTTCCAACGAAAAGGGTCTCAAGACGTTAATTGGTATGTCTCCTAGCCATACCCGGGGACAAAACACCTGTGGCTGGTCACGTATTCCAACACAAGCCTGGATCACTGTACCACGCCGTGCATCCGACAAAGGCGACTTTTACCACAATGAGGCGTGATCGTCATCCTTACTGTCACGTATTGTTTCGGACGTGCGGTCCGTATGCGGGCTGTTTCGAATCGGCGACAGGTATAGACGAAGTCAGCTGAATGCAAATGAAATAGTTTAGTATTCAACCAATAGGAAGGCAATAGCAGTTGTTTTCAGTGCTGAGAGAGGCACCTGACATTTTCGTAGCCTGATGACCTGAGACGTCGGAAGGACAGATGCAATGTAATTTTACCTGGTGTCTGTAATAACAATGCCTGGAGCGCTTGTAATCACGTGTTTCGGGTCGAAAGCGATAGCTTCCACTTAGTTCATTTTCTGGGATATTGGAGGTTACGTCCCCAAGCTATGGGAAGGTTTACAACAGTCATGTTTTGGCTCCCAGCAGTCATGTGTGCTCGCATGGTCTATAAAACGTCAGCTCTCAACGCCACAACACAATACCTGGGTGGACACCAACTCAGCGGAGGAGTCCACCTCCGTTACACTCTTCGGATTTGATTTATGCACCGTGCACGGGTCCGCATAACGCGTGAGGTAGCGCACGACATGTCCCGCGCACCCGCCAGTAAGGCGTTGAGAGTAACGAACACTGTCGCCTACCTTCTCTATTGGGCTGCCAGTGCCGCTATGCCACAGAACCGCTGCATTGAGAACAGCCAGGTCACGGGAGACCATCTCAGCTCGGTAACATAATATCGCCACCTGTTGCTCCAGCGCAGTCAGGTCCAGAGAAGAAACTTCTGCTCCAGCGTAATCCGGTCAGATGACGGGCCTCCTCCTCCGGTGCAGCAGATGACGAGCCGACTCGTTCAGTGTAGCAGATCACGGGCCGCCTCCTCCGGTGCAGCTGGGTCACCGCTCACCTTGCAAACTGACGCCTCTTCAGCCTCTCGCGGTGCTGCAGAGCTTCCTTTTGGCGCATTCGGTTCAGAAAGCTGAGCCGGATGAACGTGTGCAGCCGAACAAACCGGCGAACCACCCGGACATCCAGGGGACCTGGCTCCGCACACAGGGTCGCTACCATCGACTCGATGACTCGGGCAGCGGGAGGGTCGGTCCGGTTCGAGATGGTGACGTGTGCAGAAGGTCGACTCCATGATTTTGAACTTCTCCATCCACTTGGTAGTTGGGACACTCATCCCGCCCTGGCTGAGCAGCCGGGTCCACATGAGTCTGGACCGGCGGCGTTTCCGCGGCAAACGCCGAAGGAGTCCCGAGGCTGGGGTCGACTTTTCGGCACTTGGCTGACAGGTAGCCGGCCGCATGGGCCATCCCATACTGCTCGGCCGAGACGCCAGTCCTGGGGTCTGTTGATGATGCAGTGGAAGGCGATGGGGTCGGTCGGCTTTGGTTGGCTTCTTCCAGAAGCGACTCAACCTCTCTCATGTCGCCGGTGGTCTGCTGATCCCTGACAAGATGCTTCTGCAGGAAATCAGCGAGGATGGCGTGGCCCATGGGACCACCGTCTTCTGTTCGTGGTAGAGGTGCGGCCGCTGGCAGGCGCTGCGCCAGTGGGTTCAAGCCCAGCCTCAGTGCGTACATCAGCGTCAGGCGGCGCACCCGACACTTAGCTTCGCTGGGACTTGGGTGCAGGCTCGAACTTTCTTTCCCGCGCACCATCCCGAAGTACGATTCAAGGATGTCTTGGTTTACTCGGCCCGGGATGACATAGGTATCCGGGCCGAGGACAGATACAAGGTCACCCACAAGACCCCGCGTGGACTTGATGGTGATGATGAATCCTTTCTGGAACGGCAGTAGCGAAGTTTTCTTGCCAAACGTCAGCAATATGACCGCCTCCATGTCAGTCAGCGCCTTGTGGTGGGCCGCACTGTCAGGGTTCATGCCACAGCGGAGCTGTTCCAAGTCTGTGTGACACTGCCAGTTACGGGCGTCAAAGCTTTGGTCAAACACGCGCAGGCACTGCCCGTCTTCATGCCGGTTCGTAAAGGTGTCGACAGCTGTTGCTACGGACTCGCTGAGGAGTTGGACGGCTGGGCGAACTCTCTGACGCTGCTGTCCAGTCACCTGGAATTAAACAGAACAAAATTAGCTGATTCGTTGTCACAAAACGTTTCGTGATTACATGAACTAGTAAAGTCCAAACGCATCTATATCATTATCATCGCATTCCATTATCATCGCAGATAACTATCACGTTACAACTTGGGAAAACTGTCCGTACCTCCAGATGGCTTTCCACGCCAAGCTTGGGAAGGATCCTAAACTCCTTGTCGCCGTCGATAGCCAACACGTCAGCGAACAACTGTTTATTAATTCGACCGCCATTGGGAAGCCATAGGCCATCGCCAAGCAGGTAGTTGCGGAGCAGCTTGTAAAGGTGGGACGTATCGGCGAATATCCAGATGTTTGCTTAAATGAGTTAATTCGTGTCAACTTTCTGAAAGATGCATTGCTAGGCCACATGAAAAAATTGACGGATATGTACATGACACGGTTATGACTGATTGTGATACGGCAAAACACTGTTTACTGGTTGGGATATGGCAAATGACAGATATAATGCAGCAATTGAAACAGCCACGAATTGTGCGCCTCATCTTATGTAAACTCAAGTTTTTTCCGCCACGTGACACGTGGCACGTGCACACGTGTTGACAAGGTGAAATCGGCCGTTTTTAACGCGGTTTTACGTTAACAACTTAAACGTTGTAAACGTTTACCAATTTTATGTTAACAAGTTACATTAACGATTCAAGCGGCCACATTTTCAGTGGGCATGGCGAGTTTGTCGAACGCACCGTTGCGCTGCAAACCGCATTACAAGTTGCAACGGGCCGAGTTTTCAAAACCGAAGCTGAATACAATCCGCTACCGTCAAAACTATGCGTGATCTAGCGTTGAAAACTACAGCATCGTGTCGGCCGATTCGTGTCGGCGGTCGCCGTGGGCAGGCGAGGATTTTGTTTCCCGACATTCACAATTGATACGGCTACACTTTCAGTCGCATGGCGAATTTGTGCAACGCACCATTGCGCTGCAAATTGCAGGGTAAATTGTCAGATGCCGGCGCCCATTATAACAGCCACTACTGTCAAAAGAATCCATAATCCGGTTTTGAAAACCACATCAGCGTGTTGGTCGACTCATTGTCTATGCCACACTTATGTTGATCGCATTTTCTTGCATGTCGCTCGCAAAAGGGCCTATATTAATGGGTTGCGCGGCAGCTTTTTGCGCCGCGACGGAACGGCGCCACCCGGTGTCTCGGGTGACGCCGAATGTTGCTTCAAGGTTAAACGGTCGTCTAGCCACGTGATTGGCTGCCGTAATTCATTGCCTCCGACCGATTATGCCATGTCGCACCAAAATCTAGACACCGGTGGGGGTTGCAGCGACATAGGAATGACGGTGTACTGTGCGGAATGGTGCGTGCTGTCACACGTATCACGTGACATGACCGTGACATGGGCTCAATGGTGTATTTTGCTCTCTTCCACGGGTTTGCGCGTTTTGTGCCATATCTTGGCACCCATGACATAAATACACGCGGGATTGGCGCACTTCGATGACGAATGGAAAGAGCGAGATTGTGTTTCACTCTTCGATACAATGTAATGATGTATAATACAACGGCAGTGCTACTATCGTTCAAAAGGCTGGCAGTTGATGGAAGGGGCAAAAATGACCGGCCACACCCCAGGACCATTCGCTCATCCCATGGAATAAGTTTGGCTGTGTTGCAGAGAGCGCGGCGAAATGTGCTCTCTCCTGCCGGCTGCCGCCAGAGGCCGCCAGTACCTCGTGCGGCCTGCGGCCGAGTCTAGACACGTAACAAAACAGATTGCTGGTGCAAGTATTGCAATAAAACCTACAAACAACAATATTAATCTGACTCCTTCTGTATCTCTCTCCCAAGGTTCTGGAAAGTCTTGCCTCCACTTTGAGACATCTTGAGGGGTTTGCCATGGGGTCCTTCCCCGGGTTGAGCAGCTCATACTTCAGATCACGTACATAATCTCCCGGAGAAAAGTGAACGGAGCAAACTCCAGTGCTTTTGTTGGTGATGATTTTATTCCCCTCAGCGGCCTTGATCCAGCCTTCAGCTGCTTTTTTATCTTTTGGTAAAAAGTGAACAATAACATTGGGTGGCCTCACGCGTTTCTGATCTCCTGTCTTGCAATGGGGAACCAGACAGTATCTTCCCATTTCTTCAAGCTTAACACCTTCAAGATCTGTTAAACTTGTGATGTGGGTAAGCTCACTGGCATGATTGTAGAGAACTTTTTTAGATTCTTACCAATTTTAATATTTAAAGTTAGGGTATGGTAATGAGGAGTTGGAACCTGAAGTTGTTACCTTTTCTTTGTGTTGTATATAGACATAGCCCAGACCTTACAGCAGGGATCCAAACATCACAGCAACATGACTAGTTCCGAACAATACCCCTACAGCCTGTCACCAGCAAAGGACAGACTGGCAAGAATCATTTCAAATAAAATCCTAAAGGAAATATTCCGTAGTCAGGTCATGGGAGGCGCCCATGCTCGGACACATAAGTGAATATCCAGGTTTTGTTCCTTTCCTATTGGTGCAGCAAATATGTCTTCACAGGCCTTTCCCAGCAAAAGTAAAGAAAGTGTTGAGAGGGTCGTTAAATGAGTTTGTTTCTTTCAGAGTTGTTTACGACGCAATTCATTTATTGCCTATATAACATAAGTGAAGCTGCCTCATCAAAAACACATCGGGATGGCTTACCCAAGTTGCGAGTGTTCTTGTTCAACGTCTCTACTGCGCAAGAACTGTAAAATTGACAGTTTTTAGTCACCAGTAGAACATTGCTGGGTGCCATTTAACAATAGTGTGATATTACTTGATAATGCTTTGGCAGTGATTATGACTCATCAAAATTGTGTTAAAATTCCATCACTTGTACTTTTATTGATTAAAATTGGTATCTAGGTGTTCCGAGCCCAGCGTGGTCTCAGATCTAGTATATTTTGGTATACATCCTGCCGCCCAACCTGTTGTTATGGGGCCTCGGGCACTCGCAGTCATTCGTAAGCGAGTGTGGAAAGGCAAAGGTTCTTGCCGGATGAAGTTCGTTTGACATAATTAAAAGCTCGTAATGACCGATAGTATATGATCGAGCAAAGATTGTGTGTAAAATGATAATGTATGGATCGTTCCAGGGCGCATTTCAACCCGGCTCTTAAATTATGCAATGTCAGCTGTCAGATATGGCTGAATGTCTCCTTGGGATGCCCGAAGGCATGATTATTCGACTTTGTAATATCTAGCTATATCCGGCGTACAGTGGACAAGTGATAGATGACAATGGTATTCGGGCCAAGTGGGTTTGAGTGCAAAGTAGGTCCTAATCAGAGTAAATGGATCAAATCGCATGCTGTGGGGGGATCTTTCTCCCTGTGCGATTCGATTTATGTAAGCAATCCTAAACCGATTTCACCTGTCCGCCTGGCCGCCGGATATTACAAGCGAACTGATCCCACCCTCTACCCCCGCGGTAGTCAGCCGGTATCAGTGGCGCGCTCAGCAGGCGTCGGGCGGGCGGTCAGGCGTCGGCAGGGGCACCGACAGATTGAGAGATAAAGAGCCAACACAACATAGACGACTGGTGATCTGCAGGAGATATTGTTGCTTCCGGTCCCTTCCGTTCCAAGGACTTGTTGCGTCCCATCCATTGATCTGCGTTAATGTGCTGACCGCCGGGAGGTGTGTAATTTCGTGACTTGAGGAGCTAGACTAGTCATAATATGTGTAATTTCGTGACTTGAGGAGCTAGACTAGTCATAATGTGTGATCTGACCTATGCAGTTGTCGCTGTCCAACGGCATCCCCAGCCCCTTCCCCTTCCCTGTCAACATGTGGTAGCGCTGGCAGTGAACATGCATGAAATACCCTGCTCTAAGGACAATTATCTGCATTCGAACCCTATGTTACGCGTTTGACGCGGTTTTCGGCGTTCCCATTGTTGTTATGAAAGCTTTTTTAAATATGGACGAGCGTGTAATAAAGACAAACAACAACAAACAACTAGTGCGTGCAAACAACCTTGTGCGAACTTTTCCATCCCACATTTTGTTCCTACGGGATTTATCCGATAGGAACTCTTGCATTATTAACTTTTCATGCTACGAACTTTATGACCTATCCTCTACCCCCGCGGTAAGATTTACGAAAATGTACCATATCGGCTTTTCTACCTGTGCTTTTGTGCGCAGCCAATAGTTGCCCGTCTGCGGGACGCGTAATTGTGACAGACGCCGAACTCCACACGGCGAAAAATATTCATTTTCCTGAATGCTGGGAGCAAGACATGACTGATTATTACTGGGAGGCGTAACTGTCAGGAAGGGGAAGGTCCTGGACCGATCCTTCGTCGCGCCCCATCTCCGCAGACGGCTGTGCGCATAACACCAGCTCTAGGCGCCTGGTGGCGTGGCGTGAGATGAGGGAGCTGACAACACAGTGATTGTTCTCGTCATTGGAATAATATATATATATATATATATATATATATATATATATGTATATGTATGTATACATATAGATATACATGCATACAAGGATGGTAGGAGCCCGCCGCCTTTGGGGACCCATGCGGATAGTGCATATTGAGGAATGGGAATATCTTCCTTTGATGAATTTATCAGACAGAGGTACACTGATGACTAGCGGGCATACACAAATTCGCAACCATTGCGCGACAATTGGCTGGCTATGTGTACGGCCTTGCCGAACATTTCAATCGACAAAATCTTTAGCTTGCGATGGTTTATGGTTTTCGCAACAGTGACCAAAGTATGACGGAATATGCGAATATCTTGATCTTGGTTGGACATTGGCCGCAACGAACAGGGCTCAACACCCTCGTAGGTTTCATGGCTCAATGCCTCACGGTTTATGCCACGGCGTCTCCCAGAAAGGATCAATTTCTGAGAATGTGACATTGCCTACTTTGCTGGCGGATTTCGGGCCCACCTATGGTCCTATGGGCATACCTGTGGGTCGGACAGTGTTGCTGGCTGGCTGATGATCTGCAGTCAGCACGTTCACCTGCACTGTGCGGCAGACTTCTGGTCTCCATCTGCCCCTGCTGCTGAGATCCTACATAAATCCTTGCAAGCCCTCTGAGTGGGTGGTTGCATGGTTTGCCTTACAATGGTGTGGGTCGGCCGGCACACATAAACGCATACTTTTGGTTTTACGGTTGTCCGTTTTCCGTTCTGTCATTGTCAGTTCGTTTCATATCGCTGCAATATATGGCCGCCAAGATTGCGAGCGGTTTTCAAGCGCAGTTGTCAGCCTTGTCGCGGTCGGAAATCCCGCATTTCCCGCGTACCAGTTGGATGGGCCGATAAGATCGTGGCGATACTGCAATGCTGCATGTACACTACGTGATCAGATAGCCTACACTGAAGTGCTCGAAAATATGCCAAAACTATTTTAGATAATTGCGCTACTTTTGGCGGGAAATCATGGCAGTACAATTAGTGGCTGTAAAGATATACGTCCGGGAAAAGTGTGGCCGGCCGGGCCGGTCACACGGCCGATGAACCGGCTGCTTCCTTGCCGGGAAGGAGTCGAGAAACTGAGCCTTAACTGGCCGAGAACAGGAGTCCAGACAATTTTGGTTGTATGTTTGAATGCCTATCACGCAACGTATTTTTCTCATGCATGTTTTTGAACATTTTTCATCCAAACTTTTTGATTGGTTGGATTTCTGGGATCAGCTCCCGCGCCGAGCAGTGGTTGTTGCGTGAGCCGTGGCTTCGCCGCCTGGTCTTGAAATTACCACCCGCGGCATCGTTTTGCGGTGAAAGTTTAACATGTCGAAGTTCTCGGGATTTTTGTCCGTTACACCGTCCGTCCGCATGGTCCGCCTTGCCATTCGTCACGCCCGACGATGTCACCAGACCTTGAGCACGGCCGCTGCGCGCCCGACTGCAAGCCACCCTAGTCAGGGTCAAAATCGAGCCCAAAGGGACTCGAACCCACGCCGTCAAAGGTGGCTGAATCGTAAGGGAGGCACTCTAACGAGCTATGCCACTGATACAAATTTAAAGAGATTAGCGGCGCCTTATTGATTGCAGCTTTCTCGTGCATCTGCATATTTAAGATGATTTAAACGTACAGGCCTCATACAGGGCAAGCAATGTGTTCATTCACCTTAGGCATGACTGACATCGCAGCAAGCGCGCTGTCTTTGAACCTCAATTTGAGCCCCTTGGGTAGTTAGTTTTTCATGCCAATCGCCAATTTCCAGCCACAATGTCTCATGACGTTAATTGGTTTTGACGCGTGCCCGACTCGCTTAAAGGAACATTTGTGTGTCGACACACGTGAAATGCACCTGTGTGAACACACCATTAAACTCGCTCGGCCCGTGGCACGGTCTGCAACGATCCATGCTTAGCAAGGACTCCACAAGCTGTTTCCGGGAGGGGGGGGGGGGGGGGGCGGACGGGAGCGAGGGCGAGAGCGAAGGGAAGAGTGGGCGAGCGAGCGAGGGAGGTGGTGATCTGTGTAGTCTGACTGCATGCGTTGTCGTCGGCTGGTGGCTGGTCAGAGGTGTGTGCCCGGCACAGGCTGGGTGAGCCATGCGCAGCATGAGTGACGATGGCCCCGCGGGCATGCTTTGTATCATCACTGGTGGTGCCAAATTATGTTTGATTGATGTGGTTGATAGGTTATTGAATCACTTTAACATAAGTGTTTCATACAATGATCGTCGCCACGACTTCGGTGATGGGAGCGAATGCGAGAGCGATGATGGACATCATATAAAGAAAATATATATGTATATATGTGTATATATGTATTATATGATATATATATTATATTATATATAATATATATACACCTATATATGTGCGTGCGTGCGTGCGTGCGTGCGTGCGTGCGGTGCGTGCGTGCGTGTGCGTGCGTGCGTGCGTGAGCGTGCGTGCGTGCGTGCGTGCGTGCGTGGTGTGTGTGTGTGTTGTGTGTGTGTGTGTGTGTGTGTGGTGTGTGTGTGTGTGTGTGTGTGGTGTGTGTGGGTGTGTGTGTGTGTGTGTGTGTGTGTGTGTGTGTGTGTGTGTGTGTGTGTGTGTGTGTGTGGTGTGTGTGTGTGTGTGTGTGTGTGTGTGTGTGTGTGGTGTGTGTGGTGTGTGTGTGTGTGTGTGTGTGTGTGTGTGTGGTGTGTGTGTGGTGTGTGGTGTGTGTGTGTGTGTGTGTGTGTGGTGTGTGTGTGTGTGTGTGGGTGTGTGTGTGTGTGGTGTGTGTGTGTGTGTGTGTGTGTGGGTGTGTGTGTGTGTGTGTGTGTGTGTGTGTGTGTGTGTGTGGTGGTGTGGTGTGTGTGTGGTTGTGTGTGTGTGGTGTGTGTGTGTGTGTGTGTGTGTGGTGTGTGTGTGTGTGTGTGTGTGTGTGTGTTGTGTTGGTGTGTGTGTGTGTGTGTGTGTGTGTGTGTGTGTGGTGTGTGTGTGTGTGTGGTGTGTGTGTGTGTGTGTGTGTGGTGTGTGTGTGTGTGTGTGTGTGTGTGTGTGGGTGTGTGTGTGTGTGTGTGTGTGTGTGTGTGTGTGTGTGTGTGTGTGTGTGTGTGTGTGTGTGTGTGTGTGTGTGTGTGGGTGTGGGTGTGTGTGTGTGTGTGTGTGTGTGTGTGTGTGTGTGTGTGTGTGTGTGTGTGTGTGTGTGTGTGTGTGTGTGTGTGTGTGTGTGTGTGTGTGTGTGTGTGTGTGTGTGTGTGTGTGGTGTGTGTGTGTGTGTGTGGTGTGGTGTGTGTGTGGGTGGTGTGTGTTACATGCACACATATGTGCGCACTTTTATACATATGTATGCATGTATGTACTTAATTGTCAGCGTTTTGACAGGGCGCATGGTTACGAATGACTTTCCCCCGTCGCGAGCTGCGATATCCCAGTGACATCCTTAATTCGTACAATACCATAGCCATACAGTAAGTGCCGCCAACAATGAAAATTTCGTGATAGATTGTCAAATTGCTGTCCAATCGTGGAACAGTCCGTGACCCAGACTTCGTTCCCATGAATTGCACATTCCGATGAATTGCAATTGCGAGCTGCGCAGCCAGTACCTTCTGGCATTTTGTATCCCAGCATAACAGCTTCGAACCCATAATGCCCGTCTGGTGTGTTAGTATGTACGCAGCGCTCCGGAAAGTGACTCTACGGCCCTAGTCAGGTCTTATGTGGTTCTTAAAAGGGCTGGATGATGTTTGTCTTTCAGTCGCACTCGCGCTACGAGCCGAATTCTCTCTGGAGTTTCTGGGATTTGAACCAAGATCTTGTGAACATCATCCAGTCCCTCTCATGACTCCATAACACCTGTCAACGGCCGGAGAACAATTTCTGGGATTTGAGACAAGATCTTGTGAACATCATCCAGTCCCTCTCATGACTCCATAACACCTGTCAACGGCCGGAGAACAATTTCTGGG